TGACTCTGTGAGATATACTATCAGAATTTTGATTGGGATTGCATTAAACCTGTATGGCAATTTGGAAATATGCCCATTTTCACTATGTTGGTTCTTGCTGCTAAAGAACATGTGTTACCTTTGTATTTTCTAATTTCCTTTTTCAGAGTACATCTGTTTTTTTGTTTTTAAAGAGCAGAATATATTTATTGGGGAGAAAGAAAGCTTCTAAGAGAATGCAAGACCAAAGGGGGTCCGAGTGGGTTGTCCTCGTGAGTATAGTACTTTTTAATGTAGAGATATTTTACACTGGAAGATAAAGCAGGTAGAACTAGAACTCTTGAAGACATAGGTATAGGCAAAGACTTCATAAATAAAACCCTGATTTTATGGGAAATACTACAAAGAATGAACAATTTGGGCCTCATTGCAGCAAAAGGTACCACCAGCAGAGTGAAAAGAACCCATAAAGTGGGGAAAAAATTTTATCCAGTTGTTCCTCAAAAAACTAATTTCTAGAACATTTAAAACATTGAAAAAAAAATTAGACCACTCAAATTTAAAGACCCTAAAAAAAAAAAATTAAAGACCCTATTCAAAAATGAGCATTTACAATGACTACATACATCTCAGATGAAGAAGTACAAATAGCAAATATATGAAAAGGTGTTCAACATCACTATCATTCAACAGATGCAAACTAAAACAACACTGAGACCTGATCTCACTCCAGAAAGAATGGCCATTATCAAAAAGATGAACCAGTAACAAATGCTGGCTGGGATATGGGAAAAAAGGAACCCTTTCCTATGGTTAAAGGGAATATAGACTGGTTTAACCAATGTGGAAATCAGTGAGGAGAGTTCTTAAAAAATAGGAGTAGAGGCCCTATTTAACCCAGCTATTCTCCTTGTTATCTCCTCAAAAGAATTAAAAGCATCATTCCACATATGCATATATTTATAGCAGTAAAGTTTGTAGTAGCTAAATTTTGGAAACAACCCAAATGTCATCAACTAATGAATAGATAAAAAGATATATTTTTTTAATGGCTGAGTACTACCTAGCCATAAAGAAGAATAAACTTGAGGCATTTATAAGCTAAATAGATGGACCTGGAGACCATAACCTTAAGTGAAATAAATCAGATGTTTAAATACTGCGTTGTCTTTTGGTATTAGAAAATTAAAGTATAAATATGAACCAAAATGTGTAATAGATATTGTGAAATAGAAAGAAATTGTAAAAAAAAAGGGGGGGGGGACTAGAGAGAAGGGAGGGACAAAGGAAAAATGGAAAAAGAAAAAAATGAGAAAAAATGGAAACAAAGATTTGTTAATAAGGAGTGGAAGAGAGGAGGGGAATGGGAACAAAAGGAATCAAGATATATCATGTACCAGTACAAATTCCCTATGATGAATGTGATCATTTTATCTATCAAACAATATCAATAGGGCTGGCCAGATAGCTCAGTGAACTAAAGTGTCTACTTAGGCAAGCTCAGGGACAGGGGCTTGATCCCCAGCTTGCTGTGCTGGTCCTGCCCCCAGGGTGCATTGAGACGGTGACTGAGACTGAGCTTGGTGGCACAAGCCTATAGTGCCAGTGCTTGGGAGGCTGAAAACACGAGTAGCACTATGACTTCGATCTGTGTAGTGCAACCCTGTAGACCTTGTACTAAAAATACAAAAATAAATAATAAATAAAATAAATAATACCAATGTGCTTAATAATAACAATACTTTCGCTGGAAGAAAGCCTCTTTAACAAGTAGTGCTGAGAAAACTGGCCATCTACATGATGAAGATTAGATGTAGACACCCTCACTATTTCTCACCATGCAACAAGCTATAATTAAAATATAAACATTAAAACTGAAACAATCTGCTAGAAGACAAAAGAGATAAAATGCTTGAAGACATAGGTGCAGGCATGTGCAAACATCATATTGTCTCCTTAGTGTAAGAACTTGAGAGAATGGAATCTGAAGGGTATAATAGATACTGGGAAAAGAAATGAACTTATTCGAAAGCAAAGTTACTGAGTTGAGAAGGACAGGAGAGGGATTGTGGGAAAGATTTATCTAGGTATGTAAGCAGGATGGTTTGGACAACTGTACTGTGCATTTCTGCTGGCCTATGGAAAGAAGCAAATACTTAATTTGTTTTGTCTCCTTTTTTCAATTGCACTTTTTCTCTTAATTTCTTATACATTTCTTTTTTTCTTTCTTCCAATTTTACATGCATGTATCTGATAATATGAATAAATGGTGGAAAGACAACACAGTATTACAACAAATACTATGAAATTTGTATTAAAGTTAAATTCAATATCACTTAATTTTTATTTTAATTCTCCTTTGTATTCTCTTTTAAAAATTAAAAAAAAAAAGTGCTGGTGAGATTGCTCAGCAGACTAAGTGCCTGCTTTGGCAAGTGCAGGAACCAGGGTTCAATACCCTGTCCCACACACCAGGCTGGCCCCACCGCTGAAGGGTGATGAGCCAGGGACCAAGTGCGGGCATGATGGTGCATTCCTGTAATTCCAGCTCTGGGGATGTTGAAAACAAGAGGATCACTATGATGGGTTTCATAGTGAGACTCTGTACCAAATACATAAAAAATGAGAAAAAAAGAAAAAAAGAAAAAAGAAATACCAAAAATCAATAAATGGGGTCTAATCAAGTTTAAAAGCTTTTGCACAGCAGAGGAAACTACCAACAGTGAAGACAACCTGAAAAATGCAAACAATTTTTTGCCAGCTACTCATATCTAGTATCTAGAATATATAAAGAACTAAAAAAAAATCAGACTCCAATTTAAAGACTTAATCAAAAGTAGGCATCTGAAGTGAACAGACACTTCTCAGAAGTACAAATGGCCAGTAAAATTACTGGTTACACAGGTATTTTAATGATTTGTGAGAAAAACTCAAGTTGTTCATTCCTTCATCAAACATTGAAGAGTTAAGTAACAGATCCTGTTCTAAGTGATGTGTATACAGAAGTGCAAAACCAGACAACAGGGGCTGGGGAGATGGCTCAGTAGAATAAGCACTTGCTTGGCAAGCATAAGGGTCTGAGTTCAATCCCCAGTCCCACCAAAAGAAAATCCCCAAAAAACAAATAAACAAACAAACTAAAAAACCAGACAAGTTTCTCTTTTTTTGTGGACATACAAAGAGACAAGTGAGTAGTCAAGTACCAACAATATTAGTACTATAGACAACTAGTAGGTACTAAGACTACTTTGGTCAGGGAAGACCTCTGAGAGTAGATGGCTTGGACAAAAGGCAAAATTTAAGCATGTGAAAATCTGGGAGGCAGAATATTTTAGGCAGAGTGACTAAGGAGCAAAAAGGCATGAAAAATCTGAAGAAGAGATTAGTGTTAAATAGAGAATAAGTATGCAAGTTTGATCTGAACAATGTGATTTTAATTTTGTAATTATAAATTCTATCACTAGAAGTTTTTAATGCTTTCTTTATACATAGAAAGAAAATCTTGAATGGGACTTTAACTGTAGTTGAAGAGTTTTGTTCTAGTTCCAAGTAAATCCTAGAATGACATCTTTCAGAATTCACAAAAAAGTGGTTTATCTTGTCCTCAGTCATCTATCTAACCATTTCTATCTCATTTACATTCAAAAAGGAGGCATCACAGTAATGAGTCACAGGTTCTGGAGGAATGTATTGTTTTCTCCTTATCCTTCCTTCCCCTATATAAAATTATTTTCCCAGGATAATTCTGAAGGCCCATGCATGATGACATGTCATAAAAGTCTGGCTGGCTTGTACTCTGTTTGGGAAAGTAAGAATGGTTTCCTTCTAGGCTAATCTGTGCATGTATGTACATCTGGAATATAGCCTGATTGGACTGCTCTGAAGGTATCCTGCACAGAAATACAATTTTAAAAGTGCAGAAAAAAATAGTTTCCTTTCTATATCCACTTGTCCTACATTTGCAAACCCAACCAACTATGCTTATAAGATGTTCAGAAAAGAAAAATATCCTAAGTAAAACAAAATAAAAAATTAAATTGCATTTGTATTAGGTAAGTACAGACATTTTCTTGTCATTATTTCTTTAAAACTATAGTATGACAACTCATACTCATAATTAGGTATTATAAGTAACCAAGATGATTTAAAATATACAGGAAGATTTGCACAGGTTATAGGCAAATATTGTGCCATTTTGTATAAGAGACTTGATACACTTAAATGAATACCATGTTAAAAGGGTTGGTCAGCAACAGAAACACAGAAAAGGCAATATTAGGTTGTTTCCTGCTTTGTTCATTGGAAAGAGCAAAGGATCACACATTTTCTAAACACAGAAAAAATGTATAGTATTCATTACAATATCAGTGATACCATCCAACTCTCAATCTAATCCATTCTTAGCAAGTACACTTTAGACATCATTATTTGACTTGCTATGCAAATATGCAAAAATAGGGGAAAATGCAAAGATGATAAAACATGTTTGAATTTCTTTATTGGATGCATTTATTAGTATTATTTTATACATCAATCTCTGTGACTCTAATGAATGTTGTCTGCTATGGACGATGAATTGTTCTTATGCTAAGTAAACTCAAGTTTATCTTGCAGGATTCAAAGATATAAACCACCTCACATAAATTCACAAGGATACTGCTATCTGAATAGGTCTGAGGATTTTCTAGATTTTCTCCTTTTCTTTACACCACAATGGACAAAAATACAACCTTTCAAATAGTTATCAACTGTATAAGAAAACAGTAAATTCATGCAGTTTTTGGACAACTCTTAAATATTTATATTTGACTAACACTTCTGGACTGAATAGTTTGGAGACCCAATGCCACCAGGTAGCTGAGGTAACAGAACTATAGCAGTATTTCATGACAGCTACAGAATTTTTTTTTTTATATTATCCACTTAACTCATTTTCACTCACATAAAAAAATTTAATAGACCTCCTCCATGAGCATACTCTTTTCTACCAATAAATAGCATGGAAAAGAGAAAAGACTTACATGGTACAGTAGTTCCAAATCTAGTGGGATTCAATACTATGAATCTGTTTTTCAAGCTTCTTCGGCCCACACCTTGAGCTCCTATCAATACTAATGTTTTTCTCTGGAAGGGGGGCATTTTGGCTACCTCTTCATATATCTGGATTTCATGACGATCAAATTCTAATTGTGAAAGAAATAGGAAAACATATTCAATTCTATTTTATATACATAAAATCCTCTGCTATTCTAACAATCATATAGTTGTCTTGAAAACAGTCACTTTGTGCCTACTTAGCACAAATCTGTTTTCACAAATTTGATAATGTAAATTATTTTGCTTCTTGATTTAAATATCTGCTCTCATGTATCTGTCTTTAAAAGTTTATTTAACAAAGCCAGAAAAACTGCCATGTTTAATCCTAATTATCAAATATTCTATCCACTAATCCCTTATCAATTTATTAGTATAAATAATTGTTCTAGCAAAAATAATAGATTAAGGGCCACTTCATGTAATTTACATTAAAAAGTACAAATTAGATATGGAAGACGTACATATAGCATGGCTGCTTAAACTGCATAGAGTAAGACTATGCTGCCAATGACATAAATGAATATTGTGTACAACTCATACAGACAACATACTAATATTCAAATACTAAGATCCTGAAATTTATGTATAAAGTAAAATATTGGATTCAAACTATTTTTATTTATTTATTTTTAGTAAGGTTCTACAGGGTCTACAGGGTCTCAGGGTCTTACCAGGTAGATCAGACTCATAGTGATCAGCTTGCGCTCAGCCTCCCAAAGATCTGGGCTTACAGGAGCATGTTACCATGCCCAGTCTCAATCACCCTCTCAGCACACCTTGGGGTCAGGGCCAGTACAGCACACAAGGGATCGAATCCCGGCAGCTGTGTCTGCCTAAGCAGACGCTTTAACCTGCTGAGCTATTTGGCCAGCCCTCAAACTATTTTTAGAAAAAATAAATTCCAAATATAATTTCAGTTGATGAGAAAATTCCAAATTATCTATTTTACAAAAAGTTTTAGGGTGTATTTTTTTTTTTTTTTTGGAACCGGGGATTGAACTCAGGCCCTTGCTCTTGCCAGGGAAGCACTTATTCCACTGAGCCATCTCCCCGGACCCTTTAGGGTGTATTTTTAATGAATAATGAAACAAATGAGTTAAAAATACTTGTCATTATAGCTAGAACTTTCAATCTTAGGTAAGAAACTTCCTTAAGTTACTATTTCAATAATTCTTTCTCTGTACAATTTCTTCACAGATTAAACCAGTATCAGGACAGAAAAGGCCTGTGCCTCCCTCCTATATTATTTCCTTGTATTTGCTTCTTCATTGCTTTTAAATCAAGAAAGTATTTAATATAGCATAGTTTTTGTACTTATCATTTTTTTTTTTTTTAAACCGGGAAGGTATACTCAATCCAGCCAGGTCTCAGGCTTTATTAAAAATTTTTTTTTCATCTTATTGAGTGTAATTGACAAATACAAATTATATATAAATAACACAACTTCATAAAGTATACTGATACTTGTTTACACTGGAAAAGATCCTATAATCAAACTAATTAGTATATCTAACACCCACACAGATACCATTTTTTCTTTTTAAAAATCTTCACGACTAAAAAGTTTAAGAAAGAATCCTTTTAGATTAGACTAAATCTTGTCCAATGCTATTTTCTCAAAAACCTCAGGCAGAGTGTTAAAGCAAGATATAGTCCTTAATCCTAGCTCTTTTATTATCTTCATAAAAGCATTCTACCCTTTAAGAAATAGTCATTAATTGCTATTTTCAAAATTCTCTGAACAGTTTCAATATTTATAAGCTTGTTCCTGCATCAACACAAGTATAAATCCTAACCAATTCATTAAAAAAAATCTTTTATTCATTTATTTATTTGGTACAAGGTCTCCCTACACAGCTCAGACTCATAGTGATCCTCTTATCTCAGCCTCCCCAGAGCTGGGATTACAGGTGTGTGCCACCATGCCTGGTTTTGGTGGCCTGCACAGTGTGCTGGAGGCTCTGGGGCCTTCATGACATGGCATGGCATGCGGAGCTGTGCTGGCCCCAAGCCCAGTGGGCCACCAAAAACTGGGTGTGGTGGTGCACGCTTGTAATCCCAGTACTGGGGAGGATGAGACAGGAGGATCACTAGGAGTCCGAGCTGTGTAGCGAGACCATGTACCAAAATAAAAAGATTTAATTTCCTTATATTATTGTTCACATGCCATATCCTTGTAATTAGATATTAATTGATCTATATTCATTTTAAATTACATATTTAGAGCTGATACCACATTAATTAACAATACAAAATCCTTAGAATTTTCAAAAAAGTGTTTAGAACCCACCTGCATTTCTGGTTGTGAGATACATCATCTTTTTCTTTTTTTTGCTACTTATAGTTCCACAAAAAGGGCCTGAAAAATGACAAGACCAATGCCATTTAAATAATATGATAAAACTGCCCTGTCATATTCTATGGTAAGGGAAAATAATTTTCCCAATGCCTCATCCTAGGAAACCCCCAAAGGGCCAGGGTAGGTGAAACCACTAAATACTGTTATTCTACCAGTAGGTGGCAGAAAGGGATTAAAAAATATTACTTTTGAGAGAAAAGGCTGGATATATTCTGGATATATTTCAAATAAATTCATTTGTTTACTTAGACAAAAGAGGCAAAAACCTCAAAAAACAAAAGAGTAAGCACAAAGGTCCACTTGTTACTTGTATGGAGCACACCACCTGAATTGTCCCAGTCTCTTCTAACAAATGCTTTTCTCTTCTCTTCCAGGAACTGACTTGGAATGAGACCAGCACTTCCTCCCTCTTTCACATGGCTAGCCTATAAAGATATTAAAGCATTTTACATTTTAGTGACCAAAATTTGAAACCATTTTCTAATTCTGGTAAGGCAGGCAGTAGCTAGAAAAAAAGTCAAATTTGCTTTTAAAAACAACTGTGTCGGGGCCAGGGAGATGGCTCAGTAAAATAAGCGTTTGCCTGGCAAGCGCAAGGGCCTGAGTTCAATCCTAGGTTCTGGAAAAAAAACAAAAACAAAAACAACAATTGTGTCTTACTTACCCTTCTCTTGCTGCTGAGACAAATATCCGACACTCAAAATTAGGGAAGGAAACATTTATTTAGCTCACAGTTACTGGAGGTTTCAGTCCACACTTGACTGGCTCCAAGGCAGGGTGGCACAGGGCAAAGAGCAGAGCAAACGGAGTGTTGCAGCTCAGGCAGCTAGCTAGCCTCTCCCCCTTCCTTACACTGTAATGCAGGTTACCTGCCCCAGGGCAGGTGCAGCACCCACACCCACAATAATCTATCACAAACTCCAGAAACTGCCCTAAGACTGCCTAAGGCTTTGGGGAGACACCAGGGCACAAACTGTAACATTCAGATTTAAGTCCATGATATTATTGGTTAAAATATTTAAACACTTTGGGTTTGAGGAATCAATTTGAACCTAAGGAGCTGGGGAGATGGCTCAGGGGAATAAGCACTTCCCTGGCAAGGGTAAGGACCTGAGTTCAATCCCTGGTTCCGCAAAAATAAAAAAACAAAAAACAATAAAACAAACAAACCCCCAAAAATTTGAACCTAAAATTCTTTGTATTGTGTATGGCAACTGGTAGTGAAATTCTGAGACCGAAATACAAAGGTAAAGACAAGTTCCTTGAATTACTAAAGGTTTTTGTTTTTGTTTTTGTTTTTGTAAAGAAGAGAAAGAAAAAAAATGTTATTTTATAGTACAATGTGTTAAGAGGAAATTTCAACTAGCATTCTTTAGTAAGACATTTACTAACAACCTTAATCATCTGGGTATTTCCTAAGGGGAAAAAAAATCAATGAAAAGGAGACAATATTGGGAACACAGAAAGTAAATTTTAATTCATATTAATAAGAATCTGAGTATCTTATGAGGTAGGAAAATGATGGTCTGAGAAATCGCTGTTAGTGGCTCATCTCACAAGATTAGTATCTTATCCTTATGACTGATACAGAAAATCTGGTATTATTTTTAGCAATACTAAAAATAAGAATTAAAATAATAGACTACTAAATTAGAAGAAGAGACTGAGATAATGGCAAGAGGATCAGAAATGAAAACTAAGAGATAACCATTCATAGAAAAAAAAAAAAAAAAGGAAAAATTCAATAAAGGTTCAGAAAGCAAAATTTTTAAATGAGGCTGGGGTAGGAGGACTGCTGAGAGTTCAAACCAACCTGGGCTACAAATTGAGCTCAAGGCCAGCCTGAATGACATAGTGAGATCTTGTCTCAAAAAGACAAATAAATAAATTAATAATTTAATGGATAGCCCTCAAAATTCATGATTAACTAACTTGCACATTTAAGTGTACTCAGCATGTAGTAACACATATGTAATTTAAGACTGGTAAGATTGCTATTTTGTGAACTAGTTCCCCTTAGAAGTCCATATAATGTATTAGAGCTAATATGAGTTTCCAATAGTATCTTAATTTTACAGTTTAGTGTTACATTGTCCTTGTCCTTTCATCTTTTATCTTATTCTTTAATAAGACTGTTATTTATTCTGATAGTTTGACTCTGACTTGTTATTTTCTCCAATTCTCAACACCATGGTTGTTAGCTTACATAAAATAGACTTATTAGTGCTTCTAGGGATTTCTAAAAACAGTATTAGGGAAAAGGAAAAACTTCGTTTAGATTTCTGGAAAAGAATGCAGAAAAATAAAATGATAACATACGTCTCCATCTTTATAAACAGGTTACAATTCAAGTCAAAACAAAACTGATGGAGCAAACCTTCATTTCTCAATAAATAAAAGAAGGTAGGCAAACACATTGAGGACCCTGAGAAATTATGCTTTAAAATTGGTCGTGAAAACATACAGAGGGAGAAAAGACAAATAAGGGTATTCATTAAACCAAAACCAAACACTGATAAGGGATGACCCTAGATAAGTTTTTCTTGCATAAGAGCCTAAGTTAATACAGCCACTCATGTGAAAGAACCAAGGAGCCAATTCCCTGCACCAGCAGGACAGTACCATAGGTACGTGAATTCTACATTTATTATAAGCTGCTCACAAATCCCTTTCAATTTGGTCTTTTGTTCACAAAATTAGTGGCCATGAAGGAGGAGCTGTTCACGCTGGAAAAATCATTGTACAAATGCTAATACTTTCTTCCTGAATATTCATATACTGGCCAGATCTAAGATTAAAAATAGAAAAGCAGTTATGGAACTTTTGAAAAGCATACTAACCTGCCACCAATTTGGATCTTCTCTGTTTACAATCTGAAGAATTTCTCCCTTGGAAAACTTCAGTCCTGCTTCTTTGCAGGGAATCAGATTATCATTGTATGGATTATAATCAAAATGACACTTCACAAATACCTAAAACACAGCACAATGAAAAATACTACAAATGTATCATCTGCCATTGACTTTTGAAATCCTTTTCAAACCACTGTGATTTCATTGTAACTGACAAGTGTTTAGTACTTCTGGTAAGTAATTTCTCTAATAAAATTCAAATTATTAAAAGATTAGAATAACTGGTATCAGAAAAGTAAAAACTATATTAAATGTGTTTATATTTTAATTTCTAGTTTTAAGTCAATGCCTTGACAATCATTGTATTCCACCATTTTTCCACTTGGGTATCTAACCATCAATGCATAACTTATTTATTATGTATTTAGTACAGGGTCTACAGGGTCTTACTACACAGATTGGACTCATAGTAATCCTGTTTTTAGCCTCCCAAGGGCTGGGATTATAGGCATGTGCCACTATGCCCAGTTTCAATTACTGGCTCAGCATGCCCTGGGGGCGGGGACAGCATGACACACTAGGGATGGAACCCCTGTCCCTGCATCTGCCTAAGCAGGCACTTTAATCTGCTGAGCCACCTAGCTGTCCCCTTTTTTTTTTTAATTTATTTCTTCACTGCAAAACTTAATGCAAGTAAATGTTATTTTCCAATCAACATCCTAAAGTAATATATTCAGTTAATTTAAGGCATATATTTCAAATATTTTAGGACTGACTTTGTGAAGGGATTCTGAAACCAAAATTAACACAAGTTTTGTTGAAATCAGATATAAAAGTGTTTAAAGTAAATGTATTTGGCAACCTTAAAAAATTTAAAAACTCAACTTTTTCTTTTTCCTTTATTTTTTCAGATAGGGTCTTGCTATGCAGTTCAGGCTGATCTTGAACTCACTATGTAGCCCAGGCTGGCCTCAAACTTATGCCAAACCTGCCTCAGCTTCCTGAGTACTGGGATTATTCAAGAAGGTGTGTGCCACCATACCCAGCTAAAAACTCAACTTAATTTCTAGAAATATTTTAAAGGCAGATTTACACTGGTCAAAATAATAAGAAAATATGTTTGACATTACTTTACTCTGATTTAAATTAAATTTAAATGATCAGTATTAAATTAAACTGTAAGACAAATATTAAAAAGCCTTTTAACTCTTTTCTAATTTAAACTCACTTATATACATAATTTCTTTTACATTTGCTTTATTAATAATAGTTACCATGTTTTGTTTTTTTTTTCATTTATGTATTTGATATAAGGTCTCACTATGCAGCTCAGTCAGGTAGTGATGCTCCTCTTTTCGGCCTCAGTGCTGGGGTTACAGGCATGTGCCACTAGGCCTGGATGCTCGCTGGCTCTGCATGACGCGAGGGTGGGACCTGCGCAGCACGTAGGACCAGGGATGGAATGTTGGTTCCTGTGCTTGCCTAAGCAGGTGCTCAGTCTGTTGAATTATCTTGCCAACACTACCACTGTTGGTTAAGGTTCCTAACATTTGAAATATTTTATTAACTTCCACCCAGATTTTAATTAAACATATTGTATAAACACTTAAGAGACTTGATGGTAAGTTCAGATCAGCTGCTTTCTTAAAATGTTTGTTTCATGCATGTTTACTAAAATTCGAATTTTATATTCTAAATAGCCTCAGCATTAATTGGTATATAAACCTTAAGAAACAGGAAAGTACATGGTTAGTCAAAACCAACAATGTTATTTTTCTATTTCTCAAACTTCTATAACTATAACCAAACCAGACATTCAAATAGTACAAGTAGACATTAATATGGTAAAAATTAACATGACTGATGTATACTAAATTAATTACAGTAAGATTGGGGCCATGATAAAATTTTAGTTATTTAAAATTAGATGATTTTGATGGCACTGAAAACATTTTCAATAACTTTGAAAATGCTTAAAAATCAATAATTTTTTTTCTGATATACAATTTTATAAGTATCTAAAAGCAAGCATTTAAATACCATTAGGATTGTGAAAACATGACAGTTGGCTAACTTGACAATGGCATGCTCAACATTTTAGCTCAACATTTTGGAAACGGAAAAAATAAAAAAACCAAATTTAATCAATGTAAATTTAACCAATGTAAAAACAGTACCAGAGAATATTCTGGAACAACATCATACCTGATAGATGTGTGCTGGAAGCCTCTCCATACTGATGCAACTCTAAAAATATATTTTCAACTGCATAAATAAAGCCAGACTTCTAAGTTAAAATATAAACAAACTACTGGTCTATTTCATTACTTCACTCATTTGGTGAAGTAACTACCTCCCTAATTACTTGTCCACAGGTTCTATAATACCTGTCAATTGTAAATTATAGAAGCAAAGGAGGAATTTTCAATGAAACAGAGAAAAGGTTTTATTATATAAAGTTAGAAAATCCCCCTCCATATTCCTTACTTCTCAAGAAAGTTGGAATTAATGAAGAACTATACTATGTCACATAAACATAAATTTGTTTATTATTATGTTTGGGATAAAATGTATTTTGCAACCATAGTTATAAATTTACTATAAATTTCAAGTATTCTCTCCCCATTCCCCTCAAACTATTCTAGAAATTACTACTGTTTGTGAAATATAAAATACATCTTTCAAATATAAAAAATTTCTAGGACTAATTCTTTTTTCATTTATCAAACTAATTTTAGAACATTATCTGTATGATAAAACACTCAGATTAACCTGTTTCATTTCTGTAAATTTTGTCTGAAAAGTAAGTTAACCCAACCTTTGATCTAAGTATTTTATAATGACTTTAGAATCATTAGCATTGATTATATTTACCATAACATTTTATTAAATATATCTTAAAATGTATTTAGAGTATACATTATATACATACATTTTATATCTTAAAATGATTCTAGAGTATCAATGTTAACATTTTTTTTTCTTTTTCTTTTCTTTCGCATTTTAGGGAACAGTCTACAGGGTGTTCAGGGTCTCACTGCTAGATTGGGCTTGTAGTGATACACCTGTTTACAGCCTACCAAGAACTGGCATTACAGGCTTGCGCCACCATGCCCAGTCTCAATTGCCATCTCAGTGTACCCCGGGGGCAGGGCAGGCCCAGGGATCAAACCCCTGGGCCCTGAGCCTGCTTGCAGGTGCTTTGTTAACTGTTGATTAATGTTACTGAACATCATGTGCTAACATCTTTTAATTTCCTATTAAAAGAATTGCATGACCAACTAAGTAAACAGAAACAGAAAAAGCTAAGTATAAATTAGCTTTTAAACAATTTTCAACCTGATTCATAGCAGAAATAAAAATTAAAACTACAGTATATTAAGAACACATTCTTTTTCCTGTCTGATTAACAGAAATTCAAGCATTTGATACATTCTGTAAATTCAACTATGGGTTAGGCATTTCTCTAATAAGCTTGTGAAAAACTGGTTTATCCCTTCAGAGGGCAATTTGGTAATAGCTATCAAGATTACAACTGTATAATCCCTCTGACCTAATAATCTCTGGGAATGGATTTAAAAGTTGTGTAACTCACATATAAGTAGAATAACTTGTATAAAAACTAGCTATTGAATTATTCCTAATACCAAAAGCTTAGAAGGAACTTAATTTTAACAATTGTGAACTGACTGTCTGATGGTAATATAACACTACACAGCTGCTAAAAGTGTGTGTGTGTGCGTGTGTGTATGTAGAGGCAATTTTAGGTACCAGTAAGATAAGATCATTAGGATACATGGTTAAGTTTAAAACAATAAGGTTCAAAATAGCAGATAAAGCCTCTGGGAGATAGCTCCGTAGTTTAAGTGCTTGCCTGGCAAGTTCAAGGTTCTGAGTTCAATCCCAGGTACAAAAAAAAAAAAAAAAAAAAAATCTTAAACAAAATAATATATAAATGTTTTATAGAAAAAATGGTAGAAGGGGAATTAGAGAATGTGATTTTTATTTACTTGCATAAAAAGATACTCTAGGATGATAAACAATGTAATTTTTTTACTGGGGTAGTGGGAATCAGGTTGGTAGTGAAAAAGGATCAGGGGAGACAATTAAATACATACTTATTTTTAAATTTCTGAACTATGTGAATGATTCATTTATCCAAAAATTACTATTTATTAGAACAATGACCATCTAAACTGAAACATCTTAAAAAACCATACAAAACATGAAACAATGTTTCTGAAGAGCCTAAAAAAACAGGCAAGGAAAATAAGGATCTCTAAAAGATGGAAACAAGGTAAACTGCACCAGCTAACTGGACACCGTTCCTCCTTTTCAACTCAAAATCTCATTAGAGTCTGATGGTCTCTCCTAGTTGAGGAGATCTGGGAGACCAGGAAGAGCAAGGTAGTTAACAGTACATGGAGCAGAGTATCAATGAAGGAAGCTGCACAGGAGAAGACTGGAGAACTACCATGATTTCCAATCTTCAGCTAAGCATGATGAGTGCAAGTGCTCATGGGGCCAGGGATTTAGCTCAGTGGCTCAGCACTTGCTTGGCAAGTATGAGGTCTGGAGATTGATTCCAGGTCCTCCCAACCCCTTCCCTAAAATACTTTTCTCACTGGTTGGGGAGACTGACTTCAAGGCATCACAGAGAATAATAGTATTAGGTCATCACATAGGGTCATGAATAGTTTTTGTTCTCAAAAGGCTAAGTGAAAAAAAAAATCTCTTAATTCATGGGGTATATATCCTAAATCTTCCTTTGTAGTTGCATTCATCAAAACATAACAAGCAATGATCAAAGGATCAAATTACCCCAAAATAACATAACTGTATTCTAGGGAAAAGCTTAAATTTATTTCTAATACAAAAAATGTCCAGTACCCAATAAGTTAAAATTTATGATACCTAGCAGCCATTAAAAATGAACACATAAGCAACATGGAAACTATAACCTAGAACTAGAGAAAGAAGTCAATTAAGAGTGGCTTCAGAATGACAACTATGATAGAATCAGTAGATAATGCCAGTATAATATTTAACTTTACATACTATATTCATATGTTCACACAGAAACTATAGCAGTGGTAGTGAAACCATGGCACATGTGCCAC